GAAAATTTGTGGTGTTGGGGAGAGGGTTGTCTACTATATTTAGCAATTCCAGGAGAGATCTGAATCTGCACAAGTAAGTGGTTTTCACTTGACGATTTCACACCAACAGTTCTTCATCATTCTCCTCTGACTTTTCTGTGGCAAACCATACCCATGAAGAGCAGCAACTCTGAAGGCTGTGTCAGGGCAAGTGTTTCATGAAAACAAACAGAACAGAAATGGGAAAATCTGGTGTTTGTGTTACAAATATGAGCTGTAGCCACCAAGATGCAAAGTCACACCCAAGTTTATCTTTCTAGAAATACTATGGTTCCCAAGTATAAAACGAGTGTGGTTCCAGGAGCATGCACGCTGCTCAAAGGTGTGGGAAGCTTGGTTCCAGTTCCAGCTGGCAGAGGGAAGAACATTCAGAGGGTAGGAGGTGATTGGGTCTCTAAAGGGACTGATGATGTAGCTAAGTGGGCAGAGCTCTTGACCAACACACAAGACATCCTGGATTCAATCCCTAGAAAGGCATAAACTGGGATGGTGGCAGGCGTTAGCACTCAGAGGTACAGCCAGAACATCAGAAATTCAAGGTCATCTTTGGCTACATAGTGAGTTTGAGGCCAGCGTGGTCTCTGTCTCACACAGGGGCAGGAAGCCGAGAGGGTTGTCTGTTCTTCTGTTAAGAGAGCAGGACTTTGAGCATTGGGGGTTACAACTCATCAAATGTGACACGGGCACCCCTCCTGCGTTTCTCTGGCTCCCTTCCTACAGGTCCCCTCCTGTGCTTGTCTGGTTCCCCATCTGTCAGTCTGACATGCTGTGATACAACCAGGCAGGCATAATGAGGCAACCAGCACAGTCTCTTTGGGACTTTCCAGCTACAGTCATGAACCCAATAAGTTCCTTTAGCTTGTAAGCAGGTTTGACTATATTGTTACCGCAAGACAGAATAGAAAAATACAAATGCCAAATCACCAAGAATAAGTCTGGATATTATTACTAAAATGAAAATTGAAATTTATTTTAAGATGTGGTCTTTTTTCCCCAATAATGGGCCAGAGAGTAAATACTTCATTCTTTGTGGGTCACATGCTATCTTACACAGCTACTCAACTTGACTGATGGAATGGGAAAAGTTGGGGGAAAAATTGGACAAATAAATGATACTAGATTCCAACAAGGGTTTCATTGCTGGATACTAAATCTGACTTTCATGTAATTTGCATCTGATACAAAATATTATTCTTTAAATTATAACAAAAAATGAAAAATGTACTAACTGTTCACTGCTCATGGGCCACACACGCACAAGCAATTTATTTGGCCTGTAGGATTTAACCTCTTCCTTAATACATGAAATTCATCTCTGGAATAATCACAGGAAACAACTGGACCATTAGTTCTACAAGGGAGAAAAACAACCTTGAGCAGAAAAGAGAGCAGCCACCCAAGGTCTATCACAGAGATATTTGCTATGACTGGAAAGGAAGAACGAAAATCATACCCCAGAGGACATGGATGCATGCTCTTTATGTCACGCTCCCTTTGGGAAGTTGCTAAACAATTCAAAGAGCAAGAGATAGTGCAATATGATTTTTAAAACGCAGTTATAGTTTCAGTCCTGAACGTCTCCCAAAGACCCTCTCAACATTTGACAGTGCACTACTGGGAGAACCCAGAGCCTTTAGGAAGTGGGATTCTGTGGCAAGAACTTAGGTCACTGGAGGTGTGTCTGCGAAGGGGACTCCACACCCTTCACCCTTTTCTTCCTATCTACCCTGCCCCGACTCAGCTTCCTGGATACCTTCCTCTGTCACCCACCCTTTGTCACATGTGCAGCCCTGTTGCAGGATCAAAGGCAGCGGAGCAAAGTGACTACAAACTGAACTCAGAAAGCACAAGCCAAGCTAAATCCCAAGGGAGAGGCTGCGCTCAAACACTCACTACAGGAACAGGAACTATGGCATGGTAGAGACACACAAAGCAATCCAGTGACCAGAGGGCTGCATGGCCAACGCAGAGATGGGGAAAGGTGACACCTAGGGAAGCCTGAGACCCAACGTCAACAGCAAGGAAGACAGAGTCCAGAGGTCTGAGGTTCACTAGAAGCTGGACAGTGATAGTGCAAGGACAGCCATGACCTGAAACAAGCCCGAGAGGCCTTCTCCCTGCACATGCACATCCATTTACTCGTTTGCATGTGTCACACACACACACACACACACACACACACACACACGCACATGAGTTCTAGCAGACGGCTTAGTCATTCCATGGATTGCATGACACTAATGTCCAGTTTCTAACAGTACAGCAGAAAAGCCATCCCAAGAAGCAACAGCCGTATGCAGTTAGCATACACACATTCTAAATTAATATGTAAACCATATTTCTTAATGTGGTTCGTATTTTAAAAACTTACAAACAAGAACAAAAGCTCTAATCAAGCTGGTGGTACAGGAAGCTGCCCAGACATATTACAACAACTCCATGCTATGGCAGTTCCTCATTACTCGGTCGTCTGCTACCTTGGATGTTAGCTCCCCTTTGCATGGGCTGGAAATTTGTTTGATTTTGCTGTAGTTTTTTAGACAGAGTTTCATATAGCCCAAAATGGCTTCAAACTCACTAAAGCTGAGGCTTGCCTTGAAAATTATGTTTTTCCCATATCTCCCTCCTGAATGCCAGCATGATTTACCTCACCCAGGACTCTGCCAGGCTTACACCTGCACCTGCTTGATGCCAGCCCCCACTCATCTTGCAGAATGGATTCGTTCTTCCCTCTGTGTTTAGCAAATAGTCTGCTCCAAGTACAGCATCAGTGCTGCTCCACCACACCTCTTTGTTGCTGAGATTTTCTGTGAAGAGAGAGCTCACCGAGGACAGTAACACAGGATGTCTGAGAACCCTTGGGGCCAGCAACGTGTCTGGCACCAAACAGCTGAGTGCTAACACTCGCTTCATGGTCAGGACAGATGACAGCATGCTAATCAAATTTCCAGACACTCAGAACTGGGAAAGGATGACAGCCTGGACATGATCAAATCTATCTGCCAAAAAGTCTCAGAACTTAGGAATAAAGAAACTAAAATTTCATAAGAATCTTAGCAAAATCTCTGCTAAACAAGGGATGAAGGAGTCCTAATGTAAAGGTTTCTCATATTCTAGTTTTATATCATTAAAAATGTGACAAATGGCAGGATATGAACACTTGTCTATTTTATTTTCATTTACGTCTGTTCACAGGTTTAATGTGTGTGACTGTATTAATGCAGCTGTGGATACAGAGGCCAGAAGGAAATCTGTGGGGTTTAGAGCCCATTGAAACAAAGACGTAAGCTGAGTCAGGCATGGTTGTACACAGTTTTGATCCCAGCACTTAGGATACAATCACAGGTCTATCTCTGTTAGTTTGAGGCAAGCCTGATCTACAGGGTAAATTCTAGGCTAGCCACTGGGTAGTACATGGTGAGATACTGTCCCAAAACAAAACAAAGATTTAAAATTTTGTCACCATTTACCAAAAACTTCTCAAACTGTCAAAACCATATTTGTTGCCAAAAAAAAAAGACTTCATTATAAGAAAATAAGTTTTGATTCCCATCCAAACTTGGACCACTTTAGAATGTATAAACTTAGTATATGGTAGTATTTCTCAAGATCTCACAGCACAAACATCACCATGACGTCAGCAAAGCTCTTCATGATCTCTATTAGCCAACTACAACTTATATATGGCTCATGGAAATGGTTCTAGCATTTTAAAAAATTATGTATTGGACCTAAAAATGGACCATAAGGATAAAACAAAAATAAAACTGGTGGGAACGTCTGAACATTCCTTGGGATTGGACTTCAGCCACTGACATAAAGCATCACTCCTGGGGAAACAGTGGTAATTTCATCTATAACCTAGGTTCAACTAAATTATAATGTGAGCACCTAAATTCTTTTCTCATTTAAGTTGGAAATTGTTCAGCAGGGACTTTGGGTGATATCCCACTCAGAACATGAGCTTTATAGATGTTCCTTCTTTGTCATTGGCTAATACATTACGACATAGTGTTGTTTTTCATTTTATTTTATGCATTTGTGCATTAACTTTCAGGCATGTATGGTACGACATGTCCCAGTGCCCTCATAGGCTGGAAGAGAATGTTGAATCCTTGGGACAGGCGTTCAGGAAGCTGCGAGCCACCCGATGTGGGTGCTGGGAATCCAGGTCCTCGGCAACAACGAAAGTGATCTAAATGCTGCACCATCTCCTCAGCCTCTACGCGGAGTTTTTGAATGGTGCTGCTTGTCTAACATGGAGATGACTTTGTCTTCAGGTGATGTCATCTGGCTGGTTTTAGTGGTAGGGATGGGGTCCACCAGAGCTGATCCCTCACAAGGAGTTGTAGATGTGTGAACACAGTATGAACTTCCAAGTAAGTTCATACTGTCATGAAAAAGGTAGGTACAGTATAGCACCAAGATTGCAGAACTATGTCCCAAATGGACTGATCACATGCTCACCTCCAGGTTACTGGTAATGCCTCTTACTTTTTCAAGGTTTCAGGTGAGTCATCTAAAAATGATGGCAGCTTCTACTCTAATACTGCTGTATATGGTCATGCTTTGCAAACTGTACAATACATTAATCACAAGTAACATCCATCCAGGGTACCCCTAAAAATGACATTCTATCAACATTCTATAATCAACACAGGATTGGCTCTTCTATGATACAAAGTAAGATAAAGTACTCTACATGCTGACCTGTTAATTGGACAAATGGACTTTGCTATAATGAAAACCTACATGACGTCAGCACTTGCCATCAACTCTAAATAAAGGCAGTGGACACCTTGGTACTTTTTATTTAGGAGGAGATTAAAGTTCAGAAGACAATTGATGTCAGGTTATAGTTAGCTAGGGTTTGAGGTCAGTATGGCAACAAAGCACTGCTTTCTGTAACCTCACTCTACACATAAGCTCACTCAATATTCCATATTTAACAAGAAAGAAGAGTGCTCACTTTGACAGCACACATACCAAAACTGGAGAGATACAGAGAAGATTGTCACGGCCCCTGGGCAAGCATGACATGCAAATTCATTGCGTTCCATATTTTTCCACTGGGGGACATGGTGTCATCAGGTCCTAGGCTGCTGTCAAGGGCCATGTCTGGATCTCTGGACCTACTGTTCCCGGGATCATGTAGATGTCTTGGGTCTCTGTTACTACCAAGGGTTCTGAGGAGTCCTGGGATTGGGGCTGTCCCAAGTGGCTAACTAGGTGACCAAGGGCCATACCACCACAGGGATTCTCCCGGTCTGGTTCTCCTGGCTTGTTACCAGGGCCATGGAGTCACTCCAGCTTGATCTGCAGTCTGGAACCATGTGTGGGTCCTACGGTAGCCAGAGTCTGTGTTGATATCTACAGTACCTGCTACCATCGGGGGTTATGGAGATGCCCAGGGTTGGGGACCCTGGTGGGATTGGGGAGTTTAGTTGGGGTCCAAGAGGCATCCTGCAACTGGAGTGATACCGATTTGAGAAGCCTGTGCTGCCATCCGGGGCCTTGATGACATCAGAACCCAGGTGCTGATGAGGACCATGCATGGGTCTGTAGACCTTTCAAAGCCAGGATCTATGTTGATGTCCATGGTCCATGGTGTCAACAAAGGCACATGGATGCCCAGGGTCTAGGCCACAACCTGTGGCCACGTTGGTACCCAAGGGCTGTACAGACCAGCTCAGCTGCCACCCGGACCCACATTCTGGCCCTCCAATTGGCCCACTCTAACATCTATTACATCTGTGACCTGCTGGAGTGTGTGAAGGAACTGGTCCTGCGGAATGACAGCAACAAGATCTCCATGACTGGGGCAACAGCAGGATGTGTGAGAGGAGTTTTGGTGAGGACCAGTGATGATGGGTGCCAGAGGCCTTGACCCAGACCAGTGACTCATTGCAATGAACACTTTGTGGGTGGGGCTGATTGTACAAAAGGGTATATTATGTGACAGCCCACAATGCCACTAAAATGAAGAGGTGTTGGACAAACAGAAGAGCGAGGTGGGGTTTGTTTTGTTTTGAATTGATTTGTTTGGGGGAGGGCTTTAGGAGGGCCATGCTGCAGGGGTGAGGAGAGGATATGGAGAGACTGGGAGGTGAGCAGGATTGGGGTGCATGACGTGAAATTGCATAGTATCAATAAAGAATTATGTTAAAAATAAATATTTTTATGTGCCAAATATGGTGGTATTATTGAACAGTCGTGTGCTTTTCCTCATCTTTGCTTGAAATCTGACACCACCTCAGCCCATTTGCCTAACATCACCACTCTTCAGTTGTCTTGCCCTGAAAAGTCTAACGGTTTTCTGACTATGATGGCAACTGTGAGGAGTGGTGAGCTTACACGCAAAGTGGCTGGGGAGTGTTGAACTGATTATGGCAAAGGTGACAACGGTTATTGTTAAAACTATAAGCAGACACTCGGAGTGACATCGGACTGTATTGGACTGACAAAGATACAACAGGAGGAGCTGCGGAGATGATGCAATGGTCAGGGTTTACTGTCCTTGCAGAGATCATGCCACGTGACTCACAACCATCTCTAACTCCTTCTCCCGGGGAGAAGAGCGCCTCTTCTGTCCTCTGTGCATACCTGCACCTACATGCACATACCCACATTTAGACGCACACTCATGCAAATAATTAGAAACAAAATAAAATTTTTAAAAAATTATAAAGAGAATTATAGATACATTCAAAAAGCTATTAAATGGCTTATTGTCTGACTAAAGAATTCAACCATAATGTTGTTGCTCCACTGTGCAACCAAAAACAGCACATGAGAAACCATCCCAGACCAGGATCTACGGGGCCCATGGACTATAAGAAAAATGTAAGAGGTGATTACACTCTGACTCATAAGCCATCTCCCTCCAGACTACTCTCCTCCTGTGTCCCAGACTGTCCACTACACCACACAAACAACTCAAATGACGAGTGAAAGCTTCATCATTCAGAACATCTACAGTTCTCCACGATGATCTGAGCTCACTTACATACATAACACAATAGGGCAGTCCACAGCCATGCTCTCAGAGAGGGGCTCTGTGGCTGTAACTGAGTTTCTCCTGGGTTTCTCTTCTCAGTACTACAAAGTGAAATAACATGTGCAAGGCACATTCAAAGTAACAAGCAGATGTTGAGAAGCAGAAGTACACCCTGCTACAGGCAGAACAAAGGGATGTCTGTGTCTTCTCAGAACCTTCAACATGAAACCAATGTGAAAGAGTGGATTTAAGCTTTTCAGTGTCTTCTGCTGCAGTTTGTGTCTGTATTAAATTCAAAGAGTGTTCACGGGACTTCCATTAAAATTTATCAAAATGAAAACAGCTCCCAACTTTCATGGCCAGTATTTCTCAAGTTGCTTTTATCTGATGTGGGAGTCCCCTCTGTATGCCGTGGTTACCATTGATTAATAAAGAACTGCTTTGAGCCTATAGCAGAGCAGGGAATAACAAAGCTAGGTAGGGAAAACTAAGCTGAATGCTGGGATAAAGGAGGTGGAGTCAGGGAGAAGCCATGGAGCCTCTGCTGGAGACAGATGTGTGGAAAATTTGCTGGTAGGTCACAACCTCGTAGAGATGCACAGATAATGGAGATGGGTTAAACTACAATGTAAGAGTTAGCCAATAAGAAGTTAGAGCTAATGGGCCAATCAATGGTTTAATTAGTACAGTTTCTGTGTGGTTATTTCATAGCTGCTGGGTGGCTGGGAAACAAACAAGCAAACCTCATTCCAATAGTATTCAGTGTGTGCTGGAAATCCTGGAGACTGGCCCAACAGTATTTAGCACCTACTGTGTGCTGGGAATCCCAGAGATTAGCCCAACAGTATTCAGCACCTACTGTGTGCTGGCAATCCCAGAGACTGGCCCAACAGTACTCAGCACCTACTGTGTGCTGGAAATCCCAGAGACTGGCCCAACAGTATTCAGCACCTACTGTGTGTGGGGAATCCCTGAAACTGGCCCAACAGTATTCAGTACCTACTTTGTGCTGGTAATTCCAGAGACTGACAAGGGCATAATATTATCTGGACAGACTGGACATGAGTTGGTTTGGCCACACCTAAGATGTTTTTTGTAATTAGGATGTACTTGTCACAGTCATCTTTTGCTAATAGCAATGAAAATTGAATATCTCTCAAAGGAATTTTCTGAAGTGCAGTGTGGGAGCCCGGAAGAGTCAAAACACTGCTGGTGTGGGGAATAAAATTCTTATCCTCACTGCACCAAAATGGAGGTGCTCCATGAAATGAGCCCTGGGCCTCCTTAAAGTCACTTCCATTTCTAAAATGTGTGACAACTATAGCTATCCATTCTGTTTTTCTGAACTGTATTGCAGATTAAGAACTCAGATGCATCCAGACACTATGGCAGATGCCTCTCACGCCAGCCCTCAGAGGCTGAGGCAGGGGGCTTTCGGAGTTCATGGTCAGCCTGGAACCAGAAACAGGTAATAGCAAGAGGCTGTTGAAAAAGAAAAAAGAGGAAGTGCCAGATTTGTCTGCCCTCAGAGTCAGGATCTGCTCAGAAAGAGGATTCGGGAACTCTATGGCATTCATTGCCTCCACTTCCTTTGGGAGCAAAGAGGCAATTTTCAGCACTGTCAAGGACGAACAACATGAGTCATTTCATTCCTAAAATGCTACCAAAGGCTGTGACTCAGCTTGATCCGTAAGAACACTACTCTGGATACATCCACACGCTGGCAACTGTCACTCATAATAATTGTTTTAGTTCATGTTTGCAGAATTTAAACTAACAATGTGATGAGATAAATTAAACCAAACATTCAGTCCGGTCCACTGGCATGTGTAAGAGGCCTGGCCTACAGTAGAACTCAATTCTTTGTATACTATCAGACCAGGAACCTTCCAATAAATACATCCATGACAACTGTTTATAGATAAGGCTTCTAATCTCCAGCTACTCAGAAAAGCAGGACCCGGCTTCCCGTCCCGTAGTTCAATCACCCAGCGTTAATCTCCTCAAAATGCCTCTCTCCGGCCTGGGCTGTCTCCTTCCCACAACTAAGAGCCCCATTTTCCACAGCGGAGGATCAGGTGTCTCAAAGCTCCACAGAGCACGTGACGGAATAAAAGTCTGTGGTCGGGGCTCTGATCCACTTCAGCTGGACAGTGTCATCTGACTGTGAGGCCAAAGATGCCTGATTCAGCTTTTTCCACTCCTCTTGAGGGGAGGGTGGAGGAGAGTTAGCTGACTGCTGTGTAAGAAGAGGCTAGGTTCATCCATATCATGGTCTTCCTATTCCTGCTGGTTGATTGACTCCAAATGCTTGTGAGAAATTCCACTGGAAGGATTGAAACGTTTCAGGGTCCTCTGGACAATTAGGTTTACATGCCAAATGAGAAGTCCTCAAATAAACAGGCAGAGAAGCAACAAGTGAGATAAATACCCCCACTTATGCTTGCTTCACATCCCAAGAAGAAAACTAACATACCATGCACACCAGCAACGGATTTTAATTCGCTTTTCCCTTTCTGAAGGTCTCTTAGCAACTTAGAAGAAAAGCACCAGGCACATGAAACAGACAAGCAAGTATTCGCACTCACAACGTCACTGGCTTCACATTTGACATCCCAGCCAGTGGACGATGGCATAATATCATATATCCTCTTGTGTATGCTCAGTTGTTCTGTGCAGTGATTGACAAGTTCAGAAAACAAAACTGTGTGTGTCACTGCCCCTGCTTCTTCAGCCTCAGCTAATGTTAGCCTTCCTGGGAGAAAGCAGCAACCCACAACTGAAAGCACTTCTTCCAAGATGGTCTGGGTAAACATGAAATATGTTAGACCTAGGAGGGGATGCTCGTGAGGCTCCATCTCCAGTTACAGAAATGTCAGCACGGAAGTGGAGCCCTTGCAGGGCGACGGGTTTGCTTCAGGTCCACACCACTGATGTCCACTCAGAGCAACCTATACATCATCCTCCCCTTGGGGGTCTCAAGCTTCAGGGCACTTTTTGTGGCTTTGGTGTCTGTTGTCCACCAATATGTAAGGGACACAGGGTAAGAATCACGACTCTCTTTTTCCA